AAATCGTCCCCATGAACAGTGTTACCATCGTCGCCATCATAGTCAGCATCAGCGCCATAGTAATCACGATAATCGTCCCCATCGCCATCGACATGGTCGTCACGGTCATCTTCATAAGCGTCACCTGAACCATCATCATTATCATCGTCCACACTATCATAAAACCATCACCCCACCATCGCCAACGACCGTCGCCATCACCATCCCCGTCATCATCATCACCATCAGCACCACGACCGCATTCATCATCATCATCATCATCATCATCATCATCAGCAGCATCAGCATCATCAGCATCAGCATCACCATCATCATCCTCATCATTATCATCATCATCACGAGCATCAGCAGCATCGTCTTCGTGAGCATCATCAAAGTCATGTTCACCATCATCACCCCGCCATCGCCATTCGCATAGACATCGTGACCACCATGACCCATGTGTCCTGTCTTCTCGGAGTTATACTCATGACCCAGATCATACATATTTCCTCGTGTTCATCCTCAACACCTACCGCCTCCTCTTCTTCCTCTACTTCCCCATCGTCGTCACGTTTTCTCGGTGGCGTCAAGATCCTGGGTGATTTAAACGGTGCTGCTCTAGCTCGCGAACTAACCGCTCAAACGCCCGATCTAATGCAACCGCGTCCGTTTGGAACGCCGTGGCGCGAACCGGAACGTGCATACCTTCAGCATGCAGCAGCTCACACAGAACTGCCCGCTCGAACCTGCCGAACGCACCAGCGACGATGGAAGCTGAAGCGCAGAGCTCGCACCTCCGCCCCCCATCCGTTTGGATCGCAATGCGGGCGGTCTGTGGCTTCAAATTTGTGGTGTGCACCTTGTCTTAGGTCGGGCGTGTCCCCCTACAGGCGGATTTTGGACTAAACAAAAAATCCAACAATACTCAAAGATGTTAAAAAAAGGCTCCCCAGACTACTTTTTAACTTCTTTTGAATTTTCCTCCTGTAGAGGGAGAGGCCCAACTTAAATCATGTTCTAGGTCCTCATCTTGCCGATGGCGAGGTCCGCAAGGCCATCGGCAACCTAGCTGCGTTTCCTAGGCGCCCCCCTGTGCCGGATCTTCAGATAGCCAGAGAGGTCGTAAGCCCAGCGAGCACAATCTGCAGAGCCTGGCCGACATGCGATCGAACGAGGGCTTGTCTGAGCCTGCGCGCCACGACGCATGCCCACATGACGCGTCGGCTAGCGCTTGGGAGTCACAGAGAAACAAACACAGTAGAGGGCGGCTGGCGCATCCAGGAGTTATGCGGGGTCTGGCTCATCGCCTGCATTTCGCAACCTCTGTTTTTCGTTGAGCGTGGCCCGGCCCGGTCAGCGTCCTGCCGCGCGTTGCGCGTCGCAAAGCCGAACGACAGATCGGTGCCATCAAAAACTGCACTCGCAAAAAAAAACAATGAATTCTGACTTCCAGGCATGCTTCCCCATATTGTCCCAGGCGGTCCTCCAACGCAAACCATACATGCACGACTAGGTCATCCCGAGAAGCCTTCGGGCCTCGCGATCCCCGCGCCCATCCCAAGCTACCGCGGGACCCCAGGCTTGCGGGCCCAAAAAAATCCCAAGACGCTCTGGGCTTGGAGAGTCGCACCAACCTCAGCGGTTGCCGCCCCAGGCAGATGCTTGGGCGTGGCTTAATGGGGGGGTCACAAATGGGGGGTCAGAAAAGGTCCCCTTTCGTGCCCCTTTCGGGCCCCTCCAGAGCCCCAGGGGGCTCGTTTAGGTATCGTTTGGGTACCGGCCCCATTACGCGGCGCCCAAGATGCACATGCCAAGTTCTCTCCAGGCCCCTCTCTTTGCAGCAGGCTTGCAGCACTCGGGCGCGGCGGGGCCGCGCTCGGCGCGCTCTCCGGGAGGCGCCCACGAGAAGGCGCATCGCGCTCCCCCCATCTCACGTTCAGCAGCCTCTAGTTCGGGGCCTGGAAATTGGCACCAACACCAGCACAGGGGGCTGCCTCCACATGGGAAATATGATCCTAGAATTCGGTGTTGGTGGTAATATTTCGGTCACCTTGGAAACCAAAATATTACCACCATCGCCGAGATCGGGATCGTCTTCCCTCGGTGGAGGCACACCGCCGATCTTGGTGTTGGTGTCAACCTCTAGGCCTGCGATCCAGAGCCACTTCAATCCCAAACTCCACACCTCCCGCAGCAACCGTTGATGCACGCACCGACGCTGGCAGCCAAATGCTGCTGAGAGCTGCGGTCTGTGCCCCCGCGCCCGAAGCTCTTCCGACGCAGGCGCCCGGCCGATCAATAAAATCCTCGCACGCCCGATATTGTCCTCCCGTGCACTCCAACGTACAGGCAACGGCCGTCGAGGTACCTTGGTCGCCCAGTATCTGCCCTGAAACCTTCATGGTGGAAGCTCTTTGCATGGGCAAGCCCTAGCTACCCTGCGGCGGCGAAAGAATATCCACTCCCCCAGCAGATGGCCCCCAGCCACGAGAAATTGCAACGAAGACGGCTTCCAAGACAGACTGTTTGCGCAGAGACTTCGGGTCGCTTCGTGGACCATTGCACGCGGCCTCGTGGAAATACCAGATACCAACAAAATGATGTCGTCAGCCAAGGGGGCGCGCGCCGATGCTTGAACCCTCACCCGCTTCACAGTCGAAACACAGATTCACCGTGTGACTCGATCAAGCAATACGAACTCCACAGCACATGACAAGACGTCCGTCGCGCCTGCTCCTCCCTGCATCCCCCACGGCGTAGAAACCGGGAGTGCTCCGTCGGACCCCATGCGGGGAGGCTCACGCGCCGACAGGGGCAGCGGCACCGTGGAGAGCAGGACAGGCACGGGGATCATGCCCAGAGCACCCGCACAGGCCGCGCAGGCTTTCTCGGAGGTCCGCGCGGCTTCTCCTCGGCTCCTCGCGGGGCCTCCGTGCGCGACCCCCCCCCCCTGAGCGGGGACCGACCGCCCTGGCATTCCTACAGGCCTACCACGACATAATCTTAGAACCCAAAAGCGCTATAAGAACCCAATTCGGGGAGACGTAAGACTCGGGTACCGGGGGACTCGGGTTGGCCTGACGGGGGCCATCATAAAAATGACGAGACCCAATCTGAAAGTTGACGCG